TTACGAGAGTCATAAAATAATATGTGTTTCTTTTTAATTTACGAGGGTCATAAAAATAACGTGCGTTTCTATTTAATTTAGAGAGTCATAAAAATAACGCTTGCAAATATATTGTTTATCGAGAGGACATAAAAAAAAAGAAGTATTTATCTCAATGAATTTGAAGCACCGAATTTACGTGACTGTCTTTATAAATTTTTAGATTTAATCCACTTAAAAAAGCAATATATCGATCCTTCTTTTTCAATATTGAGGATATAAATAATCGAATCACCAATAATAGGTAAAATTGATGTACATATAAATATTGGTTCTTTATTTATTCCTTTTTTTCAATCTTGGGATATTATTAATATGATTAATCCAATCACAAATAATGGGTAAATAAAAATTCACGTACATAATAAATATTGATCCTTTAATTCCTTTTCTCAGTCTTGGGAATATTCTTAATATGATTACCAATTCCAAATGGTGGATAAATTTATATATATCATAAAAATAATTTGTTGATTTTTTAATTCTTTTTTTAATAACAAACATATTACTCTCTTCGTCTACATTTATATATTATATTGCATTTTTCAAAATTAATTTCAATAATTTCCAAAGCTAAATTAGATACTAATTCTATATTTTAAACAAAAAGTTTAGATATTTAAAAACTATATGAAAAGTATAATTAGTTGTAAATTTTTTATATATCAATATGATAAAAAAATAAATCTTAAAGTGTTAGTCAAAATTATTATAGTTTAACTTTAACTATAGAAACCATGACAAACAATAATAGAAAGAGAAAATATTAATTTACTTAACACAATCACAGATTATGAACAAGATTTGTATAGAACCTCTTTACTATTATAATATATAATATCGAACTCAATTTTATTTTCAATCTAAATTAAGCTAGGAGTCTCATTAAGAAATCAATAGTTTGAATTGCCCAAGCAAAATCATATTCTCCTAGTATTTTACTTGTATAAATACAAGAAATATATTATTATTATTTAATTAACCCAATTATAAATGTTTTATTATTACCACCGACAAAATTGTAATTTTCTTATTTTTGGAAAACATTTTAGAGGTAGTAGTACTAACCTATTTTTTCTACTTTTAAACTTAATTAAATAAAAATGCTCACGTAAAAAATGCACAGTCAAACCGGCCAAATCACCACAATTTCTGTTTACTTGTTGCTTTCCCACATAAACATGTCACGTTTTTGTATCCACTCAACTCAAATTACTTGTTCCCACAAAAAACTCAAAATTAAAAATATTCAATTTTTTTTACTTTTACACGTAATAAAATACACATTATTTAAAAAAATTTATAAATTTTGTTATGATATTTATATAAATTAAACACTAATCATTAGAGACATAATTTGAATTGATTAATAAAAATTTCAAAGTAAAATAGATACTTAATTTTTTTCTCAATAAATTTTCAAATTATTGACAATTTTAAAAACACTTATCTACTTAATTAACTGAATTTAACAATGTCATTAAACTTTCCGCGTGAGTGAAATACACTCCTAAATTCTCGTCAAATTGAGTCTCACATTTCTATATAATTGAAATCTTTTGTTATGTTAAGCAACAGATTATGACGTATTTAAATTGAGTTAATTAAATAAAAAATACTTCTAATATTATCAATATTTAAAAATGGATAAATAGAGTATAGATTAGTAAGAAAGACAAAACACAATCAAGTGAAAATTAAGAAGAAAATATAACAGGTAAACCACGTGGCATGAAATAATTTCATAAGAAAAAAGTAGAACACTGTCACGTGTCGGCGGGTAGATTCTTAATTGGAAAAACAAAAACTTGAAAGTGGGAAAAATAGTCATTAATTTCCACTCTATAAAAAGCAGAAAAGTGGCATTGAGCCCCTAATACTATCCTCATTTTTTCTTCTCTCAAAATTCAAGTTTGTTCAGCTTAGCTTTTTTCAAAAACAATTGAAAGAATTAAAAAAAAAAGATATAGGTCTGGCCGGGTTAAGGATTTTGTTGAGTCGATTAGGAGGAAGGTGTCGTAGGAAGAAATTGAAGATCAAAATCAAAGTGATGGATGATTGGTGGCATAAAATGGTGTTTCCTGTAAGGCGTGTTTGGTTTGCTGTTTCTGCTCGTGTTAAAGCTCGAAAAAATGGTTAGTTTCTTCTTCTCTGTTCATGGAATTAGCAATTAATGAAGGATCATTTCCCATTCGATTTGTTGAATTGAAACAAAATTCTCTTTAGTTTCTTCTAAATAAAGAGGTGAGATTTGAGAATTTAACCGGATTCGGAGTTTTCGAATTTTGAACCTAGTACAAATTGCATGTGCTCGAATCCCGAGGTGGAAACAGAAATTTTAATTTATGAGTTTTTAAATCATAAATTCCTCCTCCTCACTGAATTTGAATAAATTGTTTGTATTAAATAAAATTTTTAATACTAAAATTATTGAGTTCTTATAACTCTATGGTAGCTCCGCCTTTGGTAGTTTTTATAGACGGAGCTCCCGCCTGTTTTGTTAATTGGTGATTCGAATTCACAATCTTTTAAGATAGGAGGTGTTTACCTGAGCAAAAAAACTGGAGAACATAAAATTATATCCATATCAATTAAAAGTTTTTTTTAAAAAAAATTAAAGATTTATTCATCTCTCTTATTATAACTATGTAGTGGTTTTGCCGGTGCGGTGAGTGGGTGGGAGTTGGGAGGGTGTAGTTTGTGAAGGAGGAGGAGGATTGTTTGTGTAATTAAGTAATTACGTAATACCTTACACGTGGAAAATAAAATAAATTTAAAAAACGGTGAAAGTTTGGAATTTAATTGAAGGCATAAGAAAATATAAAATTGCTTTCATAATTGTTGAGACTTGAGACAAAGCATGATGTATGTGACCTTCTCAACAAATTTAACTTTATCAATTATTTCTTTTGAAAATTGCTTTTTTTTTTTGGGGGGGTAGTAGGCGGGGATAGAGTGTAGAGTGTTGCTTTATCTACATTCGTGAGTTGGATGGACTGAAGGGTGGTCAATTAAACATCTTTTAGTTAGCAATATTGATTGATGTTGAATTGTGTTTAGAATTGTGCAGAAGATTCCACGCATATTATACAAAAATGATCATATAGTCGCTTACAAATAGGTTTGGCATGCTTACAACAACACAACAATATACACAATGTAATCCTACAAGGGAGGGTAGAGTGTACGCAGTCCTAAATCTCACCTATAGATCTTCGGGTCAAGAAAAGCGTTTTCAAAAATAGGTTTAAAAAATACCAGAGTGATGAAGCAATGATGAAAATATGAGGAAAAGGGAAGTATCTTAAGTGTTAGGTATGCTTGTTTTACCTAAAATTGCATTCTTATCTTATTGTAAAAAGCACTGAAACATACCAAATTTACCTAAAATTGCATTCATGTCTAAAGTAGCAAGTAACATTTCTTTAGGTCATGACTCATGAGCACTTCACACATTATAAAATGGCAAGCATCTTTTCTAGGATTCCATTAGTGGTTCCTTCCATCCACTAGCTAAGTGCCATCACAATCCACTAATCTGATTTCTGTTAGAATATAAATTTTAGAAACATTGGCCAAGTTGCTAGTTACACAAGCCTCTACCAACCAAATATATGCTTTGTTTTTGTCCAATCTTCTATCTGTTTTTCAATTGCTAACCATAGGTATCCTCATATACTCTTTTAAGTCAAAAAAACGACATTTTAATTTCACTTTCTGTATTATGATATTTTTCTGTTCAAGATAACCAGATAGTAATATTCCTGATTCTATAAATATGGCCACATAGAGTAGCCAAGGTATCCGATTCTTCAGTGCTCTTTCAACATGAAGCATCTACCACTTTATATGTCCTTAGCTAAAGATCATGTATTCAAAAGTATAAAGTTGATACTTGGAATCACTTTTCTGCAGCATGTTTCAAAAAGTGTGATATATAATATGATTTACCTGCATGTTCTGTGAAATAGAAGCAATAGCTTTGAAGATTCACTAACGCGTTTGTACCTTTACTTTTATTTTCTTCAGGTGCTGGACTTTTGAAGCTTCATGACGATATACAAACTTGTGGATACGAGGATGTTCAGGTCATGTGGGAAATGCTTAGAAAAACCGAATCAGAAGTGACATCTCGGCACCATAAACGCAAACGCAGACCATTGTGGAGGATATTTGTATGGTCCAATCATAGTTCTAACTCATCCTTCTCCTCAGAACATGCTCATCAATAGACAACTTGCTGCATCTTCAAGAACAATAATAAGTGTCTGGAGAATCAAGACATGTATGTCAACTTCCATTTCTTGAACCCCATAGGGTGGTGGTATTTCATGATATGGTAACAAAGCTACAGTGTATGTATGTCCATATCAGCATAGGATGAAGTATATCTATTATACCTCTATTAGCTAGCATGACCATATGAGACTTATCTATGATGGTGTCAGTTTGTAAATATTCCATCTTTGTCAAGAGCCCCATGATCATGTTTCAGCATTAAACAGAGGAAAAGAAGTGTGAAGAGCTCAATTTGCCTCTGGGAGGTTAACTTATGTTATATTATGTATTATGCTTTTACATATCCATCATTTACAGCTGCAATGTACAACACATGAAAAATGTTACTAAGATGCCTAGTCATTTACTAAATACTAGTATAATATCAGCATAATACATAAATAGACACTCAAAGTTAGCACCATCTGTTATATAAACACTCAATTGTCCTGATAAGCTAAGTTGCTCGGATTTTCTAAAAATGTTGACGTGTCCGAGTCAGATTCTTCAAAAATGCACTATACTTGAATATACACACTCGATGAGATTTTTGAAGAATCTAGAACAACATAGCTGATAAGTACCACTTTATGAAGAGAACTGTTAAGACTTGTCAGCAACTAACACTATGAAAGACAACACACTCATTTACTCGTAAGCTCCAGTCTATGAACTGAGGACAGTAGGTTAAAGTGAAAATATTAAGAATTCAGTCACTTAAAATCTTAATTACATACAGAAAGAACCCAAACAGGAATTAAGGGCAGAGAGTTCAGACCAAAATAATCTAATCATTTAGTCACTTAAATTTCAAATCCCTATGGTAGGAAAAATTTAGCAAGAGGGTAGAGAAGTTCTGGTGAATGGAAAAGGCGTCGAATTGTTCAAATGAAGCAATAATCCAATACCTATTTATTCTAAGCTGTTATGGTATCTTTATGGCCAAGAAATTTGTACCGCGTTTCTACAAGGTGTGGTATGCAGCATTCTAGCATATCAACGTCACATCACCTCAATTTTGCTTCCTCCAACTTCATTTAGAAGTTCTACTCGAGTGGAATAGTTGTTTGTACTCTCTTTCATATCCTCCTCCTGTTGGTGATTGACCTCTTCGTTTCTATTTAGAAAGATTAAAGTTCTTGTCGGTGACAGTATAATAAACAATGAATCTGCATTTAAGGGAATATCTCCGAATATGAATATCCATGTCTGTTCCTGGATGCAAAGCATAAGTTAAAGTAGCTGATCCATGTAGAGGAAAACAAAGAAATGATATCAAAAGCAGAAAGGATAATCAAGGACAATCAATTACATGCAAAATCCAAATAATGCTTTTTCTTTCAATCAGAATCCAAATCCCCTGAGAGAAATTGTGATGCAAAAGAACTGACCCTAATCTACATGCCAATTGAAGGACCAAATTGAAGAACCAAGTTATTTGCCTAGCCCAGGTAACTTCCTTAAGCTATCTTTTAAATATCAAGAGAACTTTGTATGTGTTCTGTACCTCTGCAGAAGTTACCAGGAGAGCATTAAATCACTCAGCATCGCCCTTCCCCTCCGAGCAAGCAGAGGGATTCAGGATTTGAGGTTCTATGGGTTCATACATAGACCTCAAGTTAGTATATACAATAATAAATGGGTTCACAGTCAAATATATATAATTATGGGTTGCTTAATAAATACACAGGTCCAAGAAAAAGCTACCTGGTTCACGTGAACCCACTGCGAAGCAGGAACTGGTTCATCGATGACAGTTGTAATCTACTATTACATGGAATCAGAACTGAAGAGAAATACCAAATAGCAATTGCTGTACATGTTAAATCACTGAAGATAAAGATATTTGGAAGTTGAATCTCACCTAAAGCATAATATTGTAGGTGTCCGCAGATCTAGCTAAGAATTTAGGGGCTCCCAGTTAGTAAAACACATAGAAATCTGATCTAACTTTACTCAGCCTGAATTAGCCAGGGTTATCTGATAGAAGAGTAATTCTGCATCTGCACCTACACAATGCTACATAACTGATCACATCCACATAAAAATAATATGGGCCAGGATTTCCCAGCTGCTTGGAATGAACAAATAAGGCATGTTTTGATTGAATTTGTGGACCGACACCAATCCAGTAATGATGGAAATTGAAGCCGTCATTCTGTCGGAGCATCGACAATTTCTAAAACACTATAAATGTGTCTGAGGTCACTGATCAGCGTGTTCTCCACAGCAGCCCTAATCAACTACAGGTGGTCTTGGTCGTGTAAGAAGATGAGAAAGTTGAGATGGCTGCTATCAACAGTGATGATATTATTCCTCTCCATAACTCAACTGAATTGGAGAAACAGATAGTTGATCATGAAGAGGATGACGTCTAACATGTAGACCTATTGTTGACTCATATTCAGAATTCAGATATAGAAGCATCATTGTGGGTACAATCTACTACAATAAAATGTACTGGAAATGTGCAAGCATTATGTGGTGGATTTCTGAGACTGTGAGATGTAAGGTCTATCTCTCTTCATGAAACTGTAGAAAAGAAAGCAAGCTAAACAAGTCGAATTATGCATTGTCAGTTGTATGACCCCAAAATGGAGAAGTACGAAGGAACTAAAATCCTGAAATTTAATGTTAATAACAAGGACAGCGGGACATGGAGCTGGAGAAATTCCCACACACTGATTATCCATGAAGCTGTACATCATCGCATGGAACGGAAAGGGGCCGAATAGCAGGACAAAAAAGAAGGGTGCAGAAAAGTTTAGCTTACAACAGAAAGAAAACATCTACTGCTTTTAGGAAACAAAGCTAGAAGGAAATATCAAAGCTTTTGTTAAAGAGATGTGGGCAAACACACTCCTGCTCATCGGAAGTGCGTTTATTACTAGACTTAAGGTAATCCCTAGCAGATGGTTCATCCCCTTTAATCAAAAGATTGGACGGCCCGAGGAAACCTTTCCACGCCTCCGTTACCTTTTGGGAGGCCTAAGCCCCATAGGAACTGTCTACTTGGGACTGTGACTTGGTCTGTATGTCCAGACACAAGGTTAAAATTCTAGCCCTTCCACAGTGGTATCTCACTGATGCCCCAGGGAAGGAGGCCTTGTTCACCTTCCACCTAAGCTGCGCAGGAAAGCCCCAAAGCCAATCCCAGGGAAAAGTGAAGCTTCACAGGATCTTTCGGTCCAGGTGCAAGTAGTCTGCATCTTCACAGACATGTTCTATTTCACTGAGCCTCCCTCGTGCCCAGATTTATAGAGGCAAATGGTAGACCAGGGAATTTTTATAATATGGGACAGGAAGGTGCAGAAAGGGGATGTAATCTATACTAAGGAACACCCACTCACCTGATGTTTTGTCTCAGATTTGAAGGGGAGCCTGTCTCAGGTTCCAGTTGTGGAAACAACCTCTTGCAGAAATACAGGGTAAGGTTGTGTATGATAGACCCTTATGGTCCAGCCCTTCCCCAGATCCTGCGTATACCCCAGCTGCTTATTGCACCGGGTTGACTCTTTTTAAATAGGGGTAACTGCACCTTCTGGGTTTAGTATATAAAGGTCAAACAGAGCTCTTTAGCCCTCCTCCAGTGCAAACCAGTCTTAAAGTGAGGAATGGGAAGGGTCTCTAAAGCATTTCCTATACATCTTCAACCTAAGTCAGAAACAAGGGGACAGCTGTTAGCAAACTGTGAGGTCAACAGTGATTAAGCCTGAGCTTTAGAACACTATCAATTGATTGAGAAATCAACAGAGTAGCTAATTTTGTAAGAGTAATGGATCAATTAAAATGCATTTATGAACATGAGGAAAAATTGTCATGGCAGAGGGCATAGCAAAGGCAACTATACAATTAAATCTACCAATTATGCACTCACTCGTATTGGGAGAACAAGTTAATTCTCGGATTGTGAAACACGTGAAGACTTGAAATTCCTTAAACAGTGGCATGTTGTCAAAGAAGCCTGCCTAACCCAAGATAATTTGAAGAGGAGGAGGATTAAGCTAGGTCCAAGATGTTATTTGTGTTGGAAGGACCAGAGAAAAACAGTCACCTTATATTGCACTGTGGAGTCACTGACCAACTCTGGCAATTATTCTTAATGGCATGATCAACAAAAAACCTATTGGCATGCTGGAATAGCTCTCAAATGGAAATTTGACATGACCAACCAAAGACCTGGCATGCTTGAATAGCTCTATCACTAGCTACCCTACCCCAAACCAAATTTCTTCTAGAATTACTGGGTGACTGCAAATCTCTTACAGAAAAGGAGCATAAGATATTAGAGACTATGATTAGTACTTGAATCAATAATTGCAGAATGAGATGGAATTTGACAACAAATCCTTAACTTGGAAATGCACAGAAGACACAACAGCAATAGTGGACGATCATTAGCAGGCAGATTGGTGAAACTTCAAATATCCAGATCCCATAATTTTGCAATACATTTATCAAGAATAAATTCAAGTTGTATTAGGAAAAGTACATAGAGATATCACATGAACCACATAATCTTAAAGACATAGAGCCAAGCAATAAGGAAGAGAAACTTACAATCCAGCCAGATACATAAAAAAACAAAAATATCAGCTTCCAGAGAAGATATGCATGTATTCATTTCTTAACAGAAACTTCAAGTGGTCGAAAAAGAGACATTCCTTAAAAGAAAAATTCAAGTACTCGGAGCTAAAAGACATATAGGTAGGAGATAAGGAAAAAGATCAACTTTCTTCTGACCTTTTTCAAATTTCTGGTAGGTAAAGTTTGTCTTGGGAAGAAAAATCATCAGTAATCTTCTGCTCTATTTCCAACTTTTACTCCATCTTCAGAACAAAATTTATGTGTATGTTGTTCTGCCTTCCATTCTAGGCACTCCACCTGTCAATCACTGCTAGATTTCTTTGAATGGGTTCGCTTCATTTTCCAGTTCAGGATGAGAACTAGCTCATTTCTTTCTTTTATTTTTTATATAAAGGATTTGAACTCATCTTTTAGACCAGCTCAACTGTCTAATTATCTCACAAAATCGTCCACTTCGATTATAGCAGCAACTACGGATCAATGAAACCCAAATTAGCCAGAAAATAATATAACCAAGTGATAGAAACACTGAATATAATGAAGAAATGCACATTAAACCATTCATGCTTTAACATTGACTACCTAGTGCATGAACTAAATTTACTTTTGTTAAACAAACAAAAAAAAAGATTGTCCCTCTGGAGCATCAAAGAATTCAGACCATGGAAATAAGTAAACTTAGTCAATGAACATAATGAATAAAACAAAGTATTTTCAAATCTTTCTGGGGAAAAAAGAAATGACTAAATGAAGCAGCAGTATATTGCAGGAACTTAATTGAATTCATACCAAATTTTGAGGCAATGGGGAAAAAAGGAATCTTGAACATCTGCCAAATCACTGCAAGTTAGTTAAGCAGCACCAAAGTAATTACATTATTATCAGTAAGTCAAAAAGTGCGCATACCTAATAATTGATGTACCTGATATGCATTTCCTCTAGCTCCTGAGAGAAACATTATATGAACTGGACCAAAAGGGTCAGTCATCCTAAAACTAGGCATATTAGCTAAATGGAAATTGACACATATGATAATCCCAGTCGCTTCTCGTGGATTTTCATAACCATGCTATGCAAAATAGGATATGCAATTGAAATGGATGTCTGAGTTAAGATATATATCATGCTTGCTTTGATCCTTTTAAGCATTTTCTACATAACACACCAGTGACAATTCGCTCAGTGCAGACTATAATAGATCACAGAATATCAACAATTTAATAACCACTTCATATTTAGCATCATGCCTTATGAGAGAATCAAATAATGAAACTCTTCTGGGTATACAATTAACACAGTAAGGAAACATGAAATACAAAAGCAGGCCATAGACCCAATGAACATTAATCTAGAACTAAAAATCATAAGATATAAACCTACTGGTGAAAACGTGTTGTTAATATTGAAGTTCAATCAATCTTGATGTTGAAGATACACAGCAACTTTTGCATTATCTAGTTTCACCTTTCTACTGAAGTCCTAGGCTACACAATTATTCCTGCAAAACTTGTGCCAAATTTGCTCTTTACTTTAAATTACAGGAGGGAGAATGCGGTAAATATCCAAAAAATAATTATGCTAATCATACAACAGCACAACCAACGTGGGTGTTCCTTTCTTCAAGTCCCTTCCAGTGGTTGCTAAAAATGGCGAATCTCCTGGCAAAGTTAAGCCCCGTAGCAGATGAGACAAAGATCCGGGCTCCATGCATCATCTTCAAGAGACAACATCAACCAAAAGAGTTGTTGACTGATTCAAAAAGGGCCAAAAAAGCTGTAATGTTGCAGCTGCGCAGAAACTTTGAGAGGAACGGTGCCCTTAGATCCAGTAGGGACCAGAAATTTAACTGGAAGATAACAAAGTTCACATATGGCTTATTCTTCAAAAGCGCGTGAACATATTTTTTCTAGAAGCAATGGCCAGTCTTCGCCAAGTTGCCGGGAGTTCAGTTCCATGGCAACCCTAAAATCTTGCAATGAGATCAAGTTATTGGGAGCATGTTCTTGCATGACTTCTGAAGGTCTACCACTACTTATCTGAGAATGAAGACCGGGTCTGAGGCCATTGACGAGCTTCACATGGGTCTGCTGCTTTTTGGTGTTGTTTCTTATAGGCTCGTGCCCTGACCTTGCCCCAACAAGTCGAACACAAGATCGAATTAAACCTCTTAAGTAAGAATCTAATCCATTGTTCAACAAGTTGGCACAACCGATGGCCACTCCTTCAAGGCCTTGTTCTGCAGCAATCTGCTCCATGCGTTCCCCAAGTGATACACTATCCAACAAAGCACCATAACTAGAAGAAGTAACACATTTACTATTTGTTGCCAAAGGCAATGCTTTACGTGCTCCACCAACACTAACAGGGCAAAATGGAACCCCAAGCGGAGCTTGAAGCTGACTCCTTGCATGCAGCTCTTTCCCGTCATCTCTAACATGGACTTTGTTATATATGGAAGCTGGACCTTCCTGTGATCCCTTTATTACAGAAAATCTAGCAGTTTCTTGACCAGATGCCTCCCTTTCATCATCAGTCTGCTGCAAGAGTCCTTGATAATGCTGCACAGCCCTCCGTGAATCAGGGGGATTGATATCCCCATTTTCCATAACATCAAAAATTGATTCTGTCGCTGTCGGTTGTTGAAAAGAGAAATTGGTCTTCCCATTTTGACCAAGCGCACTACGACGATCCCCAGTCCTACGATCACGATAGCCTGTTCTGACCTTTCGAGGAGATAATGGGAGAATATCCCCATTAGACAAACCTGGTTGACTTGAAGCCTGGCTTGAAGAAACATGTGATCCATTTTGCTCATAAGCATCACTTAGGGGTTCATTACTGCCAACTGCTGCACCAGGCCTCGAAACATCAGTCTCGGGAGTTGGCGGTGGAACTTTTGCGCTGCAAGCATTTCTCAAAATGGAACGAATGAACTGATTATGCAGTGTAATATTCTCTCTACCCAATATCCTAAGACAGAGCTTATTGAACTCAACCTTGCTTATTTTCAAACTCAATAACCTATTTAAGTAATAAAAGTACTGTTTAGACCTCTCAGGTCCAAGTTTCCTCACTATCTGAGATTTCAGTTCGGCAAGATTGATTCGCGAATGCTGATGTGGCGGTTGCATCTCTGTCAACACACAAAGTCTACACACAACAAGCAAAGATTACAAAGTTTCCACTACTTTTCAAGTAACACAAGAAGTCAGTAATCCAAATCCCCACTAAATTAGGGTTTTCCCCAATTCCAAAAACCCATAGTGGAAACAAGATTGTGCTCTTCCAACAGCAATTCAAGCAATGCTGAATCAAAACCCATATCCAAAATTCCAACTTACAACAGTATAACTATTGAAGGGGTTAACACCCCAGCTAGAGATCCATAATTGTCAACTAACTCTCCCTCCAAAACTCGAAAATTTTCAAATTCTTTCTTCAGTCCAACGTTTACACCAATCAAAATCGCAGCTCAAGAAAACCCTCAATCCCCAATTCAATAAGTTCAAATTGCCTTGCAAAATTACAGGGCAAAACCTAAAACAGACATAAAATGCCAACCGTTGCCAAAAAATTAAAGCTTTAAGCTACCCACTTCAAGTTCAAATATATCCCCACACGAAATTGGGATTAAAGAAGAGATTTTTAAGCTCGAAAGAAGAGTAAAATTAGAAAATATACAAAACCCAACAACACCAAACTTAATTCAAAATTCAGATTCAGAAAGTAGAGAGAAAACCCAAATGCTTTTTCAACTCTTACTTGTTCATATACGAACCCATAAAGCTTCTTCTTCCATTCAAATTGCTTCGCATTTCAATTCTTCTCCGCAGCTATCTTTCTCTCCCCCAAAAATCACTGTTCTTAATCAGAAAAAAGACGAAGACCCACCTTCTACTCTACACACACTCTCTGATCTCTCTCCCTTCCCCCTCTCTCTCTCTCTCTCTCTCTCTGTGTAAATCGAGACTCTTTTTTCGTTTTTGTGTCTGATCAGAAATAGCAAATTCTTTTTCTGTAAATTTTCTGTTCCTATTTTTCCCTTCTTCCTCCATACCAAACACGCCCTTAGTGTCTCACGTCCTCACGCTCTCTCTTCCTCGTAAACTCGCACGCGACCGGTAATTAAGGGTTCAAGAAGCGTTTGAGCTTCACACACAGGCGTGCGCGTGGGTATTCTTGTTTTTTAATGATATGTTTGATGAATTTTGCTTAAATTATGCTATGGGAAAAATAAAAAAGAGAACTTTTTTTTTTATTTTTTGCAAGAGTTAAGTTGTAAAGAATGGTTTTTTTTTTGGGTGGGGGGGGGGTGGGGGGGGGGGAAATGAATAATACAAAGTTGTTTTCATCATTGTATGTAATGTTAGTGATGATCATGATACACATTATTTTTCCTAGGTTTTTTTGAAGATGACGATGTAAAGTTGATAAGAATGACAAAATGTTTGTATAAAAGGGGAAAATGGAACAGAATTTGATGAAATAACAAAGAGCAGATAGTTTGACAAATAAGGAAAAGTCAATTTGACATTCTGAGTTGGAAGAGAAACATGATTCTAGGTTGTTTGTTGTATATGTCAACTTCCCCTCCTTGAGCACCTAGTACCAAAATGTATTTATGGATTCTTCTAAATTATATATCTCTCCCTTTTTCTTTGTCTCTTTTGTCTATTAGGTGTACAATCAATTTCGTTTGTATGATCTCGCTCGCTCTATAATAATTTATAACTTTTATTTAAAAGAGTTCAAAAAATCAAAATACAAATGAACGTTAAGGTGTATATTGAATATTTCAAAAAAAAAAAAATTTAAAAAGTTATAGGAAGTTGATACCTAGACTATAATGAGCAATTTTAATAGTTCAGTTAGTAGTTAACTATCTGAACTTTCACTTTACTGATATTAACTATTATATTAAACCTGATTAAAGGTAAAAAAAAAAAAAGTTTAAAAGTTAAATTATTTATAATTATAAAAAATATATATTTGGAATTACAATAAAAGAAGTTAGAAGAAGGCATTACATACTCATCTCATTTAACTACTTACTCTTCTATTAGCCCAACATTTACTTCTGCATCATCATGATTTTGGAATCTTAACTACATTAGGTCTATAGACAAAAATCGCGGAATCAATTTTATGTGATTCTGACATATAAACTATATATATAATATAACTAATGGCCAAGTTGTTAATACTTTTTAAAAGTGACAACAAATTGCAGAAGAAGTCTTTTCCTCCCTCAGATAAGTCATATCCCCAGGGCTTTACAGAAGACATTGTATTACTACCTTAAAAAAACATTCTTTATTTTGAGATTTTGAAGGAGTTTGTGCACTCTCTGACAAAAACATCACAATTACTTATGAAAGTTACTGGTGACAAGAATTTGTTCTAGTTCTTGTTGGGAAGTGGGGAAGGTTGATTCTTTTCTCCAATATAATTCTTCATTACAACATAGCCCCTTTTGTTTTTGTCCCTCTACTCTGTCTGCTGCTGGTGAAGGAGTTGGCTAGACATTTCGTACTATGGAAATTTTACCAGGTTATTACAAAAACATGTTTCTTGAAATTACAAAAGCAATTCTTTAAATTTGTTTGATGTCGTTGTGATTTATTGGAGAAAGAAAGCATTTTTCTTGAAATTCCACAAGCAATTCTTGAAATTTGTTTGGGGTTGGTTTGATTATATAGGAGAAAAGAAAGTTTTTTTCTTGAAATCACAAAAGGGATTCTTGAAATTTGTTTGGGGTTAGTTTGATTATAGGACAAAGAAAGTTTTTTTCTTGAAATTGTTTGTGATTGGTTTAATTTATAGGAGCAAGAGAGCATCTTTTGGGATCGAACTGGAATGAAAATGGATTTGAAGAGAATCCAGAAATCAAGATTCAGGTTAGGGGTCTTACAAAGGTGTCTGAAAAGGGTGTTTCTATATTGAACAATGTGAGCGTTGACATACCTAAAGGTATAATCATGGGTGTTATAGGCCCAAGCGGTAGTGGGAAATCAACTTTCTTGAGATCACTAAATCGATTGTGGGAACCATCTTCCAACTCTGTGTTTTTGGATGGTCATGATATATGTGATCTGGATGTGCTTGCTCTCCGCCGTAAGATTGGGATGCTGTTTCAGCTTCCTGTTCTCTTTGAAGGTATGCAACTATTGTAGACAGATTCATGCTTTTGTTTTTGTATTTTGTTTTATCAGATGTTTGATGTTAGATCTTTCTATACTCGAGTAGAGGGTTTATTGCAAACAATCTCTATATCCCATCAGCAAGGGGAGGTATGCATACACTTTGTGTGATTACACTTGGTATATTGTTGTTGTTTGTTGCCTTGTGATGCTTAATCTAATGGACTGGCATGTTTTTGGCTTCCACTTTAATTAGTAAGTTCTTTGTGCCACAAGGCTTTTGTTTTGTGGTAAAAGCACAAACTCTCAATGTAGGGGTTAGTTGGGGTGGAATTAGAGTTCTAGCTACTGTTTGGCAGAATCTTGTATTTGTGTTAAGAAATCTACTTAATATGTTTCAATAGTTTATTTGACTTAGTATGCTGTCTTTTTTAGAATCTAGAACGCATAAAATTCAAATTTCGGGATCTGGGATCCGTCTTTTGGGGGTTAGGCACAAGTCATAGGTTCAAACTTCTGCAATGAACAAACTCAGTATTTCAGTGAAGAAGGGTAGGGAGCAGGCCATTAGCCACCGAGTGTCGTGGATTTCTCTGTCATTAAAAAGAAGTCTTTTTTCAACATACATTTCATTTTTTCAAGTTGTAGTGACTGATGCTTGAATGAGTTATTTTTGTGAAAAATTGTTCAGGTACTGTTGCAGATAATGTACGATATGGGCCACAGTTAAAAGGAAAAAAACTAAGTGATAATGAGGTATACAAGTTGCTGACTCTAGCTGACCTGGACTCATCTTTCTTCAACAAGTCTGGTGGGGAACTCTCTGTTGGTCAAGCACAGAGAGTTGCACTTGCTAGGACCTTGGCAAATGAACCAGAGGTAATTTTAAATTTACCAACGATTTAACTAGTTTTGGCAAAAGAAACTTCACTTGATTGATGCTAAATTCTGACCTTATGTTCCAATCCTCTGTAAGGTTCTGCTGCTGGATGAGCCAACAAGTGCACTGGATCCAATATCAACTCAGAATATTGAGGATGTTCTTGTAAAACTGAAGAGGGAGCAGAATATGACCATTGTGATGGTTTCACATAGCATCAAACAAATAAAGAGAATAGCTGACATAGTATGCCTGCTTGTCAATGGAGAGATTGTAGAAATTTTAAAGCCTGATCAACTCTTTGAATCTAAACATCCCATGGCACAAAGATTTCTTGAACTCAGCTCCTAAAAACTTCTCGCCGACCCCTCTTTCCTGTATGTGTTGTGTTTTTTATGCTTGGATGGATGGTGAAGTCCAGGAAACCAATTCCAAATGTGTAATAGTATTTGACTTATCATATATATAACTTTGTATCACCACTGTGATGGTTGTGCAGATTGAGTAGCAATTGGCCAGGCAGTTGAGACTTCCCTTTTTAAAGAAGTGTATTAAGATATTTGTACAATGTATGCTACATGTCTTGGTTGCTGATCTATCCCGAACAATAAGACTTCGTGATATCTTCTTGGCAAAGTTCGATATACTAAAGGGGCTTCTCGAAAACCCTGCAGAGGAACACTTCTCCAATTCTCAATATCATCTTGGTGAATATATTTTCGTTATCCTTTTCTTTAACTCAAATCTTGCTATAGATTGATTATGTAACATGTCCATATCATATCTTTAGATTTACTGAGATGAATACATGGTTGTATTATCATCCAAAACCAGAAGAAGCACCATGTTTAAAGTAAATATGCAACATATACAGCTATATAGTTCAAGCAAGTAGTGCCTGTCTTGGCTGTGCATCAATTCCCAACAGCAAGATTATTTGTCTGATATCTTCGTTTAGTAAAAGCTCGATACATTACAGAAAAACATATCTATATTCACAGAGAAATACAAGAATTCCCCAGAAAACTAAATATAAAACACTTACATTAACAGTACATTTTTGGGGGAAGTACAATGATATATGGCTTATTTCCTTTATTAGGCTTACACTATTGTTTGATTACAAATAGATTCTACATGTAATGCAGTGTTGACTTGTTAAACAATCTTTGGAAGGCTTCTACGGACTTCGCTACAACTCCAAACCTTTTAGGTCATGAAGGTGTTTTCTTGATGAATATGAGACAAATGGTATCACTATGATGAATTATACAAAGGTTTCAAACCATGTTTTAATGCAGCCTCCCACACAACATCAATCTGATCAACATCGATAGCTCCAACCTCATGGTGTGTCCAACCTTCAAGAAGATGAACTAGCCCACCCGCGTGACAAGCATGAACTATGCCTCTTCCCATTGTATACTGGTGCAACACAGAAGCACAGTGAGAATTTATACAAAACATGAAACAGTACTGTCATAAAACTGATGCCACTAACAAAAGGAAAGAGACTCTGGAATTTGGTTTCACCAACACAACACCATCAGCCGAAGTTTGGATTTCACACCCTGAAATGTTAAGTTTATCTTGTTGTCTTACTGTTTCTATTGTTTCCTTAGCATAAAAGGGCAGCATAGTGCAGAAAGTTAAAGGCCGGACTGCATGCAGTTTATCTTACATTTCTGTGAGAGGCTGTTTGGACAGCTTGAACCCTGATCAAGAATATGCAACAAATATGATTTGAGTCATACCTCACAAGTTCCTAAACCAGTGACATCTTTTGGAAGTCTCATTGCTGCTAACTTGCCATAGGTACAGTCTCTGCGAAAGGGAATGATAGGAGGAACGACAAACTGATAAAAGTGAGTTCCTGATGGAGCCCAGCTCTGCTCTCTAGGGGTCGACCATTTGCCAATAATCCAAGTCTGTCATTTGAAAACACCACAAAACTAACTTTGCTGAACTGAAAGACCTCAGTTATCCACTTTATGGAATATATACTTGAAACATTACCTTACACTGTTTAGCTTCTTTGCAATTTGTCACTTGAACCAGATACTTCTGGCACTCAACAGTAGCTTCTCT